TGACGATGACGGTGACGGTGACGATGACGGTGACGATGACGATGACGATGACGATGACGATGACGATGACGATGACGATGACGATGACGATGACGACTCAAGCAGCAACTCATTTAAAATAAGTGGTTTAGTTGATGGTTTTTCCTGACTATTGTGTATATCTACCATACCTCTTTCATGTGTTCTTCGCATCCCGTTTTCTTTTCTATTCTGGGCTTCAAAAGAAAGGTGTCAGAAGACTGAACCTGAGACCAGTTTTTTTTTCTTTTTTTTTTTAATTTTCGCTGATTTATCTCTCCACGTAAATTGTTTCTTGAGCGTGATCTATTAACGTGTGGATACTTTCTATAGCAGCTTGTTTTTGTATAACCGGTAGACCGCCTTCTTTATCTAGTGATGTTAATGCACAATTGAAAAACCTGAGATCAGTTAGTACTTAGTACACCCACAAAATGGTGCAGAAAAGAGTAAAGGTTTTCGCGCGCGTAGCAGGTCCCTATTAAACACACATATCTTGTCACATGCCAACACAGCATCATTTTAAAGTAGTATTCACTTTTTTAACTCGCTCATAAATCAAATCTCTACTCTAAACAGCTCCCGGGCAGCCACAAAGCTTCCACGTCACCGTCCTGAATTCTACTGGTGTTCAACTGGATTGGGCTTTACCACGTGAAACAAATGGTATCGTAAGAGGGTTCAAGCTGCGCTACGAAAAAAATGGTAACGCGTCAGAGAAGGATTTATCTGGTAATACGAATCTATCTTATGTACTGACTGGACTGGACAAATGTACTCTGTACTCCTTTCAAATGTTGGCCTATACAATCAAGGATGGTGTATTGACAGCTTCAAAACAGAAAGTAACAGCAGAAGATGGTAAGAAAATATATGTCTAACCATTTTTTTAGGGGAAATCAAAGATTGGTATAAGGTTTGAAATGGATCTGAATATTATTGACTGCAAGAGCCTATCAATTTCCTCTAACAATAAAACGCATAATTACGTATTTTAAATTGCGCAAAACGATTTTGTTGCAATTACCTTGGAGGCTTGGCCAATTCATATACATTTTTGCCTCCTAAAGATTTAATTTGAAACTTGGAAATTGTCGAAAGTATGTTATTTTGTGTTGGTGGTAGCGTTTCATTTTCCACTGTATTATAATATTTTTTTGTTTTATAATCTTTTATTTTCATCTACAGCTCCATCTGCTCCTATTAATCTTGAGGCAACAATCACTCCACCCAGCGGTCTCACAGTTCCACAACTAATACTAACATGGAGTAAACCTGCAGTTTGTGGTGATATTGTTCGCTATTACGAAGTGTCATACAACCACAGTGAAGATCCCTCCATAAAGTTGGTAACTGTTCATAATAGCAAACTGAATGTAACAATTCCTGTCTTGGGAGGGATGACCTACGAGTTCCGCATCATGGGCGTCACCAACAAGGAAGGGATACTCACACCAAGAAAAACATTTGTGATACCAATTTATGGTCAGTGGTTTATAAAGTGTATGCGTAGTTCAGCTTTGACTATGTACGGTATAAAATACGACTACAGTTTTGCTGTATCACATATCATTGACATAAATACGAACATTAAAGGGGCACTTGGATGAAAATGAAAAAAAATTGGAAATGACTTTAAACTTAGTTAAACGTATCTATATGGCCCCAATAGTAACCAAGCAACATACTTTCTTAACAGTAAAATGTGTGGGATAAAAATTATCACTTTTATTCAGCATCTAAATTTGGAGTAAATGACGTCATTTACTCAACCCTATTGTTCTTTCTGCTTTTAACCCAAAATATCTCAATAGCAAGTGGCTTCCAGGCAAACATTTTCACTAATCTGGTTTACTTAATCATAATTGAGTCATATTATCCTCATATACTTCAATTATTCGGACTTTCAAAAATTGGGGCGTTTTCATCCAAGTGCCCCTTAAACCTGACTACAACAGGACCGGGGGTGTTTACCTGGCTTTGCTAATGTCGTAGGAATTGTTCTTTTTTTTATGGTTTTGAAACATCAGTTTATTATTGCGAATGAAGATAAAGCGTATGGAATTAACCTAAAGTGAATATTTTTTGAATCAATAACAGCTCCACCTGTTCCTGTGGTCGAATTTGTTGGTAACATTACTTCAGACGTGAACAACATCACAGTTTGGGAAAGTTCTAATATCAGTGGAAAAATCATGGCTTATCAAATTATTGTGGTCAACGTGGATAAAACATGTTCTTTTGATGAAACAAAACTAAAAAGCCACCAAGAAGCAGAGAAAGAAAAACTGCACTACTACATAGCAGCAGAAATAAAACCAGACCGTAGCAAGAAATTCCCGCGCGTTTTCACTCTTGGAGACGAGAAAGACTACAATGGATACAGAAATGTTAAAATAAATCAAGAAAAAACATATCATGTGTTGCAAAGAGCTTTGACGATAAACGAGAAAAAAGTAAGCCAAAATACTAAAATACTATACCAGGACATTTTAAAATGTCACAAACAACAACGTTCATTATATTGTCAATAAAAATACTATTTAAAAAGATTTTCCATCCTTGAATATAAGTTATAATTTAATTCTACATTATTGACTTATTGTAGAATATTTGCGTACCTTAACTTGTAGGGTCATTTTCAAAACCGTCCCTCGAGCCCCCCTACCCACTTTTCAAGAGAGTCTCTCCCCCCCCCCCCCCCCCGCCTTCCCCCCCCCCCCCCCCTGGGGAAATCTTGATTGTCAGTACAGTTAGAATGATTGCTGCTATACTAGTTTTCTCCCTCTACTTTAAATTTATTTAGGAGTACTTGGCAGGTGCTAGGGCTTTGATAGCAAGAGGGAGGATTGCCAAAAACAAAGGTTTGTAAGAATTTGAATATATTTATTACCATAACTAGCTTCTAAGGAGATAGTGCAGATTTCGTATGACTGTGAAAAGCTCAGTACCGTAAGCGTGACGTGTCGTGACGGTGATACTTTCTAGAATTTTAATTGGCTGATTTTTTTTCACGCGCAAAATGATTGGTCTAAAAGTGCCGTGATCTTGGCGTGACCGTGTCCGCGCCGTGTTTATGCCGTGTTCCGGGTATTTGATTGGATGGAGAGTAAATTTTCGTGCAATGTGATTGGTCTGGCGTATTCCTTGCAGTTTCACGACCGTGTTCGTGCCGTGTACTTTTCACAGTCATACGAAAACTGCATTATGGTACTTGAGTGACTTGTGTGGTAATTATTTTCATTTTAATAGGCATACTATGGTGACTAAGAGTGCAGAGACTATTATTTGTAGAGATTATTATTTTCATTGGTTGTGTTTAGCTTAAATCACTTAAGTAGATGGGAAAAAATAATTACTCCATTTTGTACTCGCACTACTTTGTAAAATGCTCTGACACTTGAAAAACTAGTCTTCTTTTTGTTAACCCTCGATAGCCACAATATATATATTTTTCTTTCAGTTTAGTTGTTTTGCATTCTAATATTTTTTCCTTCTGTGTCCCTTTGTATATTTAATTGATACATTAATGAAAAATGTAAAAAAAATAAAATAAAAAAATGAAAAAATTTGATTTTAAATTGTTTTTCGCTTTTTAAGTTTAAAGACATTTGAGGGGGAAAAAGATAAATAAATAAATGATCTTAATTTTTAAAATCATTATTTTTTCCTCCTGTAATTTAATTTAGAGTTATTTTCTGGACAGCATTCACAGACGGACAAAGCTTTTGTAGGTACGTTGTCAGCTGTAATATTTAACACCGGAATAAGCCTTTTCATAGTTTAAAAATCGATTCCACTGCGCATACGATTTTATCCCGAATATCCCACTTTCTTTTGCCTAAACCTTCTTTTGCTCTTAATTAAACAAAAGAAGGTGAGAAATTCGGGATAAAATCGCATGCGCAGTGGAATCGATTCTTAAACTATGAAAAGGCTTATAAAAGTGGACCTTATGGGACACATGGCAGTGCGCATGTCGTATTAAAAGTGAGTTTGATATTATATTTTTCTATTCTGATATTTTCCAGATTCTCCAGTTTTTGCTGTTAGTTTGGCATTCAACGTAGCTTTCTCGGTTCTCATTGTCGTGGTTGTAGTGCACAACAGAAAGCTAAAGAAACAACTTGGTAAGTGAAATCTAAAATATTTCAAAACTATTTTATACATTATTCCAAACAAAATTGCCCGAAGAAAAAATGATTTTTTCTTCCAATTTTCATTTTTATTGGATAATTATATATGTGACTACTTTACGATCCGAGCAGATAGAAATTATCAGACATGAAGTTGATGGTCAACCTAATAAAGTTTGTATACTGTCCATTTTTAATTAATGCTGATTATTTCATTTTTTCAATTTGCAGAAGAAACGAGGAAAGTGAAAAAAAGGTGAAACTTGATATACTTTTTTTTTTTAAAAAAAAAAAGGATGACTTTTGTTAGAGGTTTAGGGCAAATGAGCGAAGTAATATTTCAAAGCCTACAATGAGGAATGGACGGGATTTCAAGTCTAAGCAATTGGTGCGCCTCGGACTGGAACTAATTGCACGGACTTGAAATCCCGTCCAGTCCGATATTGGAAGCTTTGAAATGACTTCTCATGCTCATTAATTATTCGACTTGGAGTAACTGGAACAAAATTAATTCAGTACTAGGACCAGGATTTAAGTAACATCATGTGACCCAAAAATAGCCCATTGATTGGCTGGTTTACTCATGAATTATTAATGAGTATTTTAATCATGGAGATAAAAGGGGGAGGTTATACAATACATCGATTTGATAATATTAAGATCATACTGGCTAAACGTTACCCCGAAAAATCTCTTACCATTCATTTGCATTTTATTGCCAATTTCTAGTGAAGTGTATCATGTATATTTTTACTCCATAGATCTGAGACTCATTTTTCACAAGATGTTTATACGGTGAGTTGAAAAGGCAGAAGGAGGGTAATAAAAATATCAAAGTAAATCAATCAATCAAATACTGATGAGAATGTAGCATCATCCCCTATTTTTCTGGTGGATGGACGATCGCTGTCATAAACCATATACAGTCCTTTGACTAAACGTTGTCGTTGATCGGATCATCCCTACGCGCCTAGACCGAAAACGATAACGGGTAAATTACCCAGAACTTGCGTCATCCAAACTGCTCGCCAGTTTAAATCTTCGCCGTATGCTCGAGGCATAGTTTCAGCAAATTAAATGGGATCGAAATAAGCGAGCTCAAGACGTGTTAGATAACATGTATGCGGCAGCTAGTAACTGTGAATTAATTATCCCCATGACCCTTTTCGGTCTAGGCGCGTAGGGATGAAGCCGATCAAACGGCAACGTTTAGTCAAAGGACTGTATATCTTTTCACGCCTTTATCGATCGCTCTTGGTAAATATATGTGTTTCATTATTAAAACAACGGTTTGTAATATTTATTTTGTGTGTGATTTTTAATGGAACAGAACATAAATACAAATGACTCAGATGAAGGAATACCAATGGTCCCTTTACCTGCTCGTGCAGGCTCCACATACGAGCAGATTGACTTACATGGTACAGTAGATCCATCAGAGGTACGCACGGAAGTTACTGGCCCCAATGCCATAGCAACTGATGTAGGTGGTGCCGGATACTGTGAACCAATTCATGAAGGAAGCGAATCCAATCCTAATGAACGAATATATGAAACTATTCATTCAGAATTGCTGGGAGAGGATCCTGAGCAACTGCAAAATACCACAGCGACCTCGTCACAATCTATTTACCAGTCCCTGGTGCAGGAAAACCGMCCTAAACCAGTTTACGAGAATCTTCATACTTATGGAAAAAACGAAAGTAAAAACGGCCCCACTCAATAATGATTTAATATTTGAATGATAATAWTATTATTTTACATYAATAGCACCAATGACGCTTTATAATGAGCAAGAAAATCTAGGAGAGCCAATGAAGCGGCGATACTAAGTCTGCAATTAAAGAAAGTTGATTGTTTCACTTTTAGATGAAGCTAGTGAATTTTAAAGCCAACCTTTTTAAGCTCGGTTATTATAGAAAAGAAGGGGAGGGGGTTGTATTTTCTCTCAATCAAAAAGATAATACATTGTATTGTTAGATAAGTTCTTAGTAGCGCTAGCATTAGTGTACTACACATAAATTCCCACTTATTTATGTTAGCTACCGAGAACGAAGGCATGATAGACCTGCGAGGTAACTATCAGATTTAGTATCCATTCCACTAAGTAATTTTGTTTTCGCAAAATTTCAATAGACTAAATAGTATCTATTTTAGTTGAAAGGCATACGATAGAATTTATTATAATTATGATGTTTCCTCGGACGGGTGAAAGACAATAGTAAATAAATGGTAAATGCGTGTGCAATTGGCCAAAACAATAAGCAACTTAAAACCCCTGCCGGAATATGAAAGYCGTGYAATTGAAAAGTTTRAATCATTAGGTATTCAGAATCGGATAGATTCAAGTTAACACTTATTCAGTGGAAGTGACGGTGGACAGTGACAAGAGCTTTCTATTATCATTCGAAATACGTTCAACGACGTTTCTTCSATATAGCGTTCAACTGAGCTTCGATATTAGCGATTTACATCCTGATTTGGAGTCGTCAGGGGAAACGAGAGAAACAGTGATGTCTGATGCWGAACTTGCTAAAAGAAATAAAGATATGATTCCAGAAGGACCAGAAGGTAGTACAGCTTGGTGTTACACGATAAGTACTTCTCCCGCTTTATTGCATTGAACTGGACTTTATGCTACAAGTTTAATTAAAATTACGCATAGCTAAGTTATTACTAGTGGTAGTATTCAAGTAACCTAACTTAGTTCATTTGATATTTGGTAGGAAAAGGCGGGATTGATGAATCGATTTGAATAAGCCTTTTCATAGTTTAAGAATCGATTCCACTGCGCATGCGATTTTATCCCGAATTTCTCACCTTCTTTTGTTTAATTAAGAACAAAGGAAGGTTTAAACAAAAGAAGGTGAAAAATTCGGGATAAAATCGCATGCGCAGTGCAATCGATTCTTAAACTATGAAAAGGCTTATAGCTCATACTCGGGTCACTCGTGCCCGATGAATTTATAATGAGCTATTAAAATCAATTCATCAACCCCACTTTTCCCTGTTGAATATCAATTCCCTCCCCGGACTTTAAAGTACTTTATTGTTCAAGCGGGTACTATCTTATATACATCCCTTGAAAAACATGATCATGAAAACCAAGTGATTTGGGAACTAAAGTCGATCAGTGATCTTTAGCAGTGCCTTGACTGGGATAAGCCAAATAACTGCTTTTAGCGTGTCCTAGTTTGTATTTGAACTACTTCAACTAGAGGAGAAGAATTCTGTCATTATTTTGGGTTTTAAAACATTACAACTAAATGATATTACAAAATGATCTACAAAGTCGAGTGTACTTTAAAGTGAACCGCTAGAGCTTACACTTCGGCAAGTGACAAGGGCTTGCTTCCAGGCTATGGTGTGTGTTTGGATCATCGTTATACAAATGAGGTGAGTGGCGAAGCACATGCGCTCTGAACACCACAACTTTGTGACAAATAAAAATTAATAATTAAGTAATAAAATAATAAAAGTGAATCAAGAAACGATATTCCAAAACAGACAGATATTTTCAAAACAGAATTGACAAAATTAAAAGATTAGCTAATATTTGGTCCCAACGGAATTTATCTCTTTACGGTAAATTGACGCTCATTAAATCGTTTTTAATTCCAAAACTCGTTTACGTTTCTTCAATGTTGACTACCATTCAGTGCTTTATTAAAGAACTCAATAAAATACTTTTTGTAGGGAGCCTTATGAAAAAGCATTTCAATACAAAATCCTAAATTCCATTTTGTATACGAATGACAAATTTTACAAAATATGTTACGTGACCTCAAATAATCGTTCATTCTGTGATATACAAGTTGAAACTTTACATCACGTTATGTTTCTTTGTGTGTTTGTTAAGATGTTTTGGGAGGATTTTGAGAGTTATTGGTTCCTGAAAACCAAAGAAAAAAGGAATCTTAAATTGCAAGATATATTATTTTGGGAGTTGAACAGTCAGAAATGTTTAACTTAATATCTAGGTCAATCCCAAAGTTTAGTGTCTTTAAACACTTTATGCAAAGGAAATATGAAGTAGAAAAATATGTTGCTATACTAAACAAGACCTTAGAGCAATTTTATGAAAAATGGTGTTTTAATATATAAATGTTCTAATAATAGAAAATGTAATAATGGAAATGTAAAAATGTAAAAATGTAAATAAATAAATAAATAAAAATAAAAAAAAGAAACGATATTTCAAATTTGGAAAGGCAACGAGGAGCCTGAAGCCCAAGAGAGATTCAAGTATAATAATTTTGGAGCTTTATTGTTTTTCACTAGCTGCATGACGTAAAGGGATCAATCCAAAAGCAAACTAACTGACTCAACGTAAACTTCCATGTGTGCATTCCAGGTGATGTGTAAAAGTTCGCTCGTAGAGAAGGCCGCGATTGAATGACAGCTATCAAAAAAAAAAAAAAAAAAAGACTTTCCCTGATAATTATGTAGGAATGTGTGGGTATACATAATGTTTGCAAATATAAAGATAAAATTTTATTCTGTTTTTTATTCTGTATTCTGTTTTGCTTGTTTGTTTGTTTGTTAGTTCTTTTTCTTCATGCCCTCTTCTAAATGTAACACGAGTCGTGACGTACCGTGACGGGTCCAAATGCAAACTGATACTCAACATTGACTTCCGTGTCAAACTCCTTCATAATTCGAGGTATCTCGCTTAGTCGCACTAAAATAACACGGAGTTTCATCGCAATCCTGTCCAAATATCAATAATGTGCCTAGTTTTCATATTGGTATTCGCTTTCTTAGTCCACGATGTCATCGGTAAGTTTTTCATTGTGCATTCATTCTTTGTTAGAGTACACAATGAAGAAAAAATGTCTTAGTTAATATTGGTAATTACTATATTTTCTTAGTCCACGATTTGATCGATATGTACATTCACTCATTGTCAGAGTACAAAAGGAAGGCAAAATGACTTGCTAACTTAAAATCGGCGAAAAATAAAAATCGTAAATGTAATTGAACCTGCTTAAATCAGTTCTCTCCTATGCTAAAGCACATTTTATTAATGAAATGTGTCTACTCTAGTGCTATGATCATGTTACGTTGTTCAATTGAATCATAGCTAATGGAGCGGGATGGTTAGGAAACCTATTGTTCTATGTTTTTGTTCGTCTTTATCCATTGTTATATGACGTTGACAGTGCACAGTGAAGGAAAAGTTTCTCCATTTTTTTTAACAGTATTAGGGAATATAAAAGTTTTTTTACCCTTAAAAATCGTTCTAAAATATGTATCATTTGTTAATTAATCCTATATGATTAATATTAATTGTTTATTGAAAATGAAATTGCCATTTTCAATGCTTACTTAACTGTATCTGCGCGGAAATATTTATTCGCATGGTGTTTGGTCATCGAATGAAAGTTTTCACTTTCAAAGTGTTCATACATGAAAATAATAAAGAAATGAGTATTTTCAGCTATAATTGCTTTGGTCCATGGTATGATTAAACATCAAAGGCAAAACAATAGCTTTGTTCTATGGAGTTTCCAAACCATTCCACTCCATTAACTATGATTAAATCGATAAAAGAATAAAGGAGCGAATGAATTGAAATGAGATGAAGAGTGCTGTTATCGTGCACTTACAATGTCGTATATCACTACAGGATGTCAGGACAGTCCTGTTGGTATAGCAGACAGTAATATTATACCAGATGACAGATTTACAGCATCTTCATATTATAATGATAAATATAAACCATGGGGTGCACGTCTGAATGGAGCAACCGGCTGGTCACCAAAGACAACAACCAACGCTAATGATTATCTACAGATAGACTTAGGTCATGTGTTTTTTATCTGTGCTGTGGCCACCCAGGGCTACGGTGTATCTGGAAATGATGAATGGACTGAACGATACAATATATCAACCTCGGTAAATACTGTCATTTGGACTTCTTACAAAGAAAATAGGACAGATAAGGTAGGAATATTTTAGAAGTAAGTATTTCTCATATTTATTTGTTACAAGTAACTGAACATGACGCGAGGTTGATTAGTGAATAAATGACAGATTACATGTCTCAAATCCAAAGAATGTTTTGCTGAAGTCCCAACGACGCATTCGGGTGTTATGATAAAGACAAACTAACCACAGAGTAAGGATTCGAGTTGGGATTCGAATTGGGATCCCGGCATGGTTTTTCGGCTTTTGGATCTGGGGTAGGATATCATTTTTTGACATTTTGTCTGGGATAGGGTATCATTTTAGTCTGGGATAGGGTTAACGATTTGGTCGTTTTTGTCTGACGAATAGGCTACGCTTTCTGCCGACCAAAAAAACAATAAAAATGTTAGTAAATATTGATTACAATCTAAAACCTTATTTTTCGTCTTTTAGTCTAGGATAGGGTGTGTAATTCTCAGTTTTAGTCTGGGGTAGGGTGTGTAAAATCAAAATTCTAGGTCTGGGATAGGGTCAGGGTCTTGAGGTCCTGGCGGCACACCCCTACCCAAGTTGGGGTGGTAGTACCCCCCACGGGGTTTGGATTCGAGTTAGGATTCGAGTTAGGATTCGAATATACAATATTGGAGCAAATATTATTGGATAATGATCACCAAGCAGTCCTTTTGACTAAAACATTCACAGCATACAGTTTGTTGTATACGTAATACATATAAATCATTCCATACACTTGTGGGCTACTCGAATTATACAAACACCGAAAAAATATAATGCATAAAATTTTATGCATTTGAAGTAATTAGTAACGCAAACATTGAAGCCAAGTTCCCGAAAGAAAAAAAAAAGAGTTTTTAGCTGTTGTTCTTCTTGTCAAGTTGATCTCTAGACTGTACGTGACCTTTCGGCTATAGCGGCTTGTACCCAAGTAACTAAACCATTATGTAATTAAATTCATTGTGACAAAGACCGCTAGTCAATACTGACATCCGAACCTTTCTCGTGGTCAGGGCGTACAATAAATAGTCTCTCTTTTCCTCTCATCTTTGATGCTAACTCAGCACTTCGTGCATAATTCGTCTTCCCTTCGGGTCGACACCCTGACCTCGGGAATTTGACTGCAACAATTGAGACAATGGAACCCGAGGCAATCATGAAATAACTGTTAATAAAGATACTAAAACTATTTTCAAGACCGTCTTAGATGTTGCTTATATTTCTTCTAGTCGTTTACTGGTAATACAGATAGTAATACTGTGGTCAAGAATGTCCTAGATTATCCAGTTCTGGTTAGATACATTAGGTTTATACCCACAACGTATAACAGTTGGAAAGCCCTACGTGTTGAAGTTTACGGTTTTGGAAAAGGTAAGTGCATTCCAAATCTGTTTCAGTATTGCTTATGCGCTTGGAAGAGTTCAAATTGTAATTCGTTGTCAACTTGATACTTTTATTTTTGTTAATCGAAGTAATATGATCATCCTGGTGGATGTTTTATTTTTATAAAACCTCCCTTACAAAAAGAGTTTTTGTGTGACATCGCTACACATGTTATGACATTATTCCAAATAGATTGTTTCAGCGAAATTCGCTTGTTTTTTTTTTTGTTTTTGTTTTTTTGTTGTTTTTGTTTTTTGTTTTTTGTTTTGTTTTTTGTTGTTGTTT